AAAAAAAAAAAAAAAAAAAATTGCTGTCTTCACTGTTTGGGACCCAAAATATTTTTTCTTTGGCCAACTGTTAACTGTCTCAGCACACGCGCAAGTGTTTCGTTATGGAACCATTTTGACAGGATTTATAACCGTTAAGTCATAATAACCATCAAAGATAGTTAATCTAACGGTTACAAACACCGACGGAATAGTTCTGTAACGGGACTGTAGCGTCGCCATCTCCCTTTTATTATATAAAGAAAATGACAAAATTTATCAACCAATTAACTTTTGATAAATCATAAATTTACCTAGTAATTTTTACTGTAGTAAATTCCCATCTACTGGGCATTACTAGATATATTTTGTAATTTTTGCATTTTTTTTACCCATTATTATTTTCTCCTACAAGAAAAATATATATATATATTTTTAGTATAATAATTAAAAAAAATTAGTAGTATTGTCTACATAAAACGTGATTGATTCTTTCAATCTAAGCAAAGGGTGACAAGTCACATAATTATTTGTTTTCGTTCTTGAAAAAATAAAATAAAATATATATACCTAAATCAAAATTAAAAAAAAAAATTATTATATATTGAGAAACAAGTCAACGACCTATAGTTGACAAAATTGGAGAAAGGAAGAAAAATGATGATAATAAACAAGACGCGTGCATAAAGAACTACGGTAGATTTAATAGTTTTACAATTGAGATAATTATTAATAAGTGATAAAAAATGTAGGCTTTTATTATTTTATATCCCTTTCTAGATGATCTATGCGTAAATCAAGCTAGTGGATTATGTTGAAGTCATTATTTTACTTTTTTCATGTGTGATTAGACTAGGTGTTAATTGCTTGTTCTATAGGCATGAATAAAGTTGTAGACGAGTCGAGTTGGGATCAGGCTCGAGCCCTTATCGAGTTGATAAACGAGTTGAAATATATTTAACCAGTAGTGACCTGATAAAAGTAACTAAAAAAAATTAATTTATATGCCTTAACAAACTTCAAATTATCATTTTCATGTTTATAAATGTTGTATTGATGCATGATTGAAAATGAATGTACTTGGTATAAGTGTTTTTATGAATTTAATTAAGTTGGCTCCATAGTGGAGTCAACCTTTTATATACAACAAATAAATTTTGTTATTACTTAAAATAATTTTATTAATACGATATGATTTACATATAGTATATAGAAGATTGACTCGTCAACTGTTGACTTCATAGCAAAATTGGTCAACACTTTTACACTAACCTCTTATCTCAATTATCTGCTGCTTATTGCCTATCTTGATTGTAATTCTATTTTGGTAAAATGCATATATTTTAACCTAAAAAGTCATATAAATTTCATACAAAATCATTAATTTATGAGATCTCTATAAGAATCCAGTATATTATGGAATTAGGCTGCATTATTCTATATTAGTACAACACCCGTGTATTACACGGGTGCTTGCTAATTTTTTTTCTTAAAATCTAAAATTAATGAGAAAAAGTAAATTGAAAATTTAAATACCTTTTATGAGAATATATATATTATTATATATTTTTTATGACACTTTTTATTTGTGCGACTTACCTGTGTTATATTATATTAATTTTTCTAACTTACAATATATAACTACATTAATTATAAATATATCAATTGAGAAATAACTAGTACGTACCCCGTGCAATGCACGGGACAAAAATATTAAATGAGTTATTTTCACAGTCTTGTCCGTTTAAGTGTAAAAGGTAATAATGTAATAATGTTATTATCTATTTTCTACCTCTTTTAATCAACGGTAAGTCTAAAAATTTATTAACCGCCCTCTGGTAAATATGTATGGAGTTATGTGTTCGTGTCTCATAAGTCACAAGCATTATGAATAACATTACAAATTATTCATTCAAACTTTTATTCATTGCAGATATATTAAAATTGTTTATATAACAGCCATTAAATACCACATTCAATATATTTATAAATAAAAAGTACATAAAATTTCTGGTGTGTTCAAATTTAAATAATTTTTTGTGGGCTCAATTTTAAATCATCTTGACATTTGGTCAAACACATAGGCGTGTTCAAATTTAAATCATTGGCATTATGGTTGGTTGAAATTTAAATCATCTACCATGGTACTGTGATGTGTATTATATATACATACAATTTTTTTAACAAATAATATGTGCTTTATAAAATAATAATAATAATTTCACAAGATTATAAATGTCAAATTTGGTTTTTAATCACAATAGAAAAATCATGATAAGTTGTATTGAAAAGGTATTATGAGATAAAACAATTAACTAAAATAATTAAATAAAATACTTGATGAAAATAGAATGCATTAATTACCTATGACTTTTCTTACTACTAATTCTAGTAAATAGAGTGTCTTTTTATATAAGTATAGATTTTGCCAATTTATTCACGCGTCAAATTTATTCCTTTTTTTAAGGAATCAAAGCCCATACAATATGTAATTAATTTACGAAACAATATATAAATAAATCCATATAGATGCATTTACCTTTTTTTACGGAATCAATTGATTTAATTAATTTAATTATTTTTCTTTTTTACGAAAACGCTCACTCGGAAAGAAATTCTAAATTCCATATTGCAGAGATTCTAATCGGAAAAAATATCTATTATATATAATAGAAAGTTTGTTAAGTTTATATTTATAGAGATTCTAATTGGACATATAATCTATTCCATATTTATAGAGATTCTAATCGGAAAAAACATATATTCCATATTACAATATGTAATTAATGAAAGTTTGTTAAGTTACTAATTTTAGACAATAATTAATGAATTTGGCGGGAAAAAATTACTAAAAGTGAATTAAGTTAATCCTTATTATATATTAATAGATTTTATTTTTCTAATGAATTTTAATAAATATTATTAATTTTTATTATTATAAAGATAAATATAATTTATTTATTTCATATATGTAATATGGATGTCAAATCGAAGATCATCAAAAGATGATTAATTTGATATATTATATATGTAAAACTGATAAGAAATACAAAAGTTATCAATTTTTAAAATACATTTATAATTCAATAGCTTATTGAAGGAAATAAATCAAAATTTAGGGATATTTTAGTCACTTAGTGCTTCACTATATAAAATTACAAAGAATTAAAAAGGGTTATATTAGTACAAGTGATATTAAAATACCTATGTTAGCTAAATAATATTTATGGAATACCCGAACCTAGATTATTAATTATTAATATATCAATATTATTTGTCCAAACCTAATTACGAAGCATGATTCTTCGCCAAGTAGGATTTCGAAGCACCAGAAGCAGCCACGTAGGCTCAACGCATTCGGAAATTATATATAGGGAGGATTGAGGATTGGATTTTGGTGATGATATCCATTTTTTTTGGGCTTCTTAATAAAATAAAATTGAGTTAATAATGTTAAAGTTCTGATATATTTTTTTTTTTTTTTTTTTTTTTTTTTTTTTCTATACAAATAAAAGTTATTTGTAGACAAAAATCTCAGGGGGAACATGATGGGACCCAATTTATTGCATAACTCATTTTTTTAAGAAAAATGAGGTGACTATATGTTTATGTGGACTATATAGGTATTTTCAATATAATGTTTTTGTTATTTATTCTATCTTATTATAAAGAAAAATATTACGGTCCTGTTGTAGAATTATTACGTCGGGGTTTGTAACCTTTAGATAAACTATCTCGATGGTTACATGATGATTTAACGATTACAAACCCTTCAAAAAATAATTCCGTAACGAGACCGTACATTTTCCTATTATAAATATTTGAAATCTTGTTGCCAAACAAAAAAGCAGTATTTGGAGCTATTCTAATTTCTAATTAGTGTTGTGCCCTTCACGTCCTTCTCCTTCATCTGTATAATCCAGCTTCAATATGTTTTCAAATACTTTTTTGATTAATAAATAAATATGTGAAAATTGTGAATAATTAGCTGTATTTTTAGGCCCTCTCTTTCTACAGCTGCTCATCATCAAGTGAAGCCATTAATGAAAAGGTCAACCAAAAACACAGAAAAATTAAAAAGCACACATTTTCAAGATTTGGGTTTCCACTTTCCCATCAAGCCCACTCGGTTTCCTCCCAAAAAAAGATTGAATTTTTATTTTGTTCATGTTTCATTCATTTCTTGATTTTCATAACCACAAATGGGTTCAGTAAAGGAGTTCACTCTCTCAGGGTTTTAGTTTTACACACATTTTTTTTCAAGAACAATCCATGGATTTCAAGAAAGAAACCCAAGTGAGGTATGCCTTTTTTTTTTGTTTTTTTTTTTGTTTTTATGTTTTTTTTTGTTTTTTTTTTTCTATGTATGAAGTTGATTAATGGGCTTGACCTAAATCCCCAATTTCAGGTTTCACATTGAAGAAAAACGGAATCTTGAAACATTCTTGGAGAAGAATGAGGAGAAAAAACAGCTCCCACTGTACAAAAACCCAGGCCCTTTTAGAAAACCTGAAGGTGTAGCATACAAAGAAAAACTAGCAAAATTTGGTAAATCAAAAGTTTACCCTGAAGGGCAAGAGCCAGAGGGTCTGAAAACAGTGCTTGACCCTGGGAGCGACACTGTCTTGAAATGGAACAGGATTTTCTTGTTCTTTTGCTTGGTGGGACTTTTCATGGACCCTTTGTTTTTCTACCTTCCCTCCGTGGTAAATCACGGGAAATCGTCGTGTATGCAGACCGATTTGCGCCTGGGGATAGTCGTTACGTGTTTTAGGACAGTGGCCGATGTTTTTTACATTCTACATGTGGTTGTGAATTTTAGGACAGCTTATGTTGCCCCTAGCTCGAGAGTGTTCGGCAAAGGCGAGCTTGTGATGGATCTTAATAAGATTGCGAAGAGGTATTTGAAGTCGCAGTTTGTTGTGGATTTGATTGCGGCATTGCCTCTTCCTCAGGTGAATTTGAGTTTATGTCTTTCTGTTGTTGGTAAAAAAGTTTACTTTTTTTTTTTTATTTGTTCGAAAGGTTCGTGTTATTCTGATTGTGTTCGCGTTTAGAGGGAGTAAAAATCGATAGATTGGCACGAGAACGAGGATTTGAGTGTGGTGAAATGTATATAATCTTAACAAACTCTTTGTACAGTTTGAATATGAGGTCCTTCTTTTGTTGATTTTGAGCGATCATTATAAAAAAAAACCGCCCCTAAGGTTTAGCCTAATTACATAATACTCTGGTTATCTTTCATTATTACAAACACTCTGTGGTAATGATTATATATGAATGAGTGTATTCTTTAGGACGACACAAACCGGAATGAAGTGATTATTCAAGCTATAGGAGAACTAGTTGTAATTTTATTGATAACTAGGTTATCGTGAAACTAAGCACAAATGTATTGCAGATTTGCATTACCTACAATTTTGCAATGTAGCGAAACGTAAAATAGAAATTCTGTTGAAATCTAATCTGACTATAAGCTTATTAGTTTTGGATTTTCGAATTCCATAAAGGGTCAGTGCCAAAACAAGAAATTTATCACAGTAGACTGAAACTTTTGACTTAGCAATAACATTTATGTATGGCCGTAGTATTTAGTACGAGTTTATGTTTTCTTGCTTCTTGCAGATTGTGATATGGTCCATATTACCGGCAATTAGAAGCTCCCACGCTGATCATACCAACAATGCCCTTGTGCTGATTGTGCTATTACAGTACATTCCCAGATTATATCTCATTTTCCCGCTCAGTTCTCAAATAATCAAAGCTACTGGTGTCGTCACAAAGACTGCTTGGGCTGGAGCTGCTTATAATCTGTTACTCTATATGCTAGCAAGCCATGTAAGCCAATATATTGAAGCAAATCTTTTTATGGACAATAATTATTAACGTTCCCCTGAGATTTTGATGTTTGTGTTGAATGCAAAACTCAGCTTTGTTTGTGATATTTTGATGTGCTATTGCCTATTTGCAACTTTAGAATCACTGCTAGGCAGAGTTTTCGCAATTATTTCTTTACTTCATTAACTTTTTCGAAATTTTGAAGGGACAGTTTATGTCCAGGACTAGTTTTTTGGCTTTGTCCATTTGCTTTAGCCTCGTTTTTTTTTTTTTTTT